TATCTCAAGGCTCTGGATGTTGTAGGACTGTCTTGGTTGATACGCCTCTGCAACATTGCGTGGACATCGGGGGCAGTGCCTCTGGAGTGGCAAACCGGGGTGGTGGTCCCCATCTTTAAGAAGGGTGAGCAGAGGTTGTGTTCCAACTATCGGGGAATTACACTCCTCAGCCTCCCCGGTAAGGTCTATGCCAGGGTACTGGAAAAGAGGGTCCGGTCGGTAGTCGAACCTCAGATCGAGGAGGAGCAATGTGGTTTTCGTCCTAGACGTGGAACTGTGGACCAGCTCTTTACCCTCGCTAGGGTGCTGGAGGGGGCATGGGAGTTTGCCAATCCAGTCCACATGTGTTTTGTGGATTTGGAGAAGGCTTACGACCGTGTCCCCAGGGGCTCCCGGTGGGGGGTGCTCCGGGAGTATGGGGTGGATGGCCCCTTGTTAGCGGCCATCAAGTCCCTGTACCAAAGGAGTGTGAGTCTGGTTCGCGTAGCCGGCAGTAAGTCGGACTTGTTCCCGGTGAGGGTTGGACTCCGCCAGGGCTGCCCTTTGTCACCGGTTCTATTCATAACTTTTATGGACAGAATTTCTAGGCGCAGCCGGGTGGTGGAGGGGTTTGGGTTCGGTGGCGGGAGGATCTCGTCTCTTGTGGTCCTCTTAGCTTCATCAAGCACCAACCTTCAGCTCTTGCTGGGGCGGTTCGCAGCCGAGTGTGAAGCGGCTGGGATGAAGATCAGCACCTCCAAGTCTGAGGCCATGGTTCTCAGCCGGAAACGGGTGGATTGCCCGCTCCAGGTCGGGGGGGAGGTCCTGCCTCAGGTGGAGGAGTTTAAGTATCTCGGGATCCTGTTCACGAGTGAGGGTAGGATGGAACGGGAGATCGAAAGGCGGATTGGGGCGGTGTCAGCAGTGATGAGGGCGCTGAATCGTTCCGTTGTGGGGAAGAGGGAGCTAAGCCGGAAGGCAAAGCTCTCGAGCTGGTGGAAGTGGCTGGGGAGAGGGCTGTCTGGACCTCTTTGCTGAGACTGCTGCCCCCGCGACCCGGATCTGGATGAGCGGGACACTACGAGTACGAGTACATTCAAATCAATGAGGATAGGCTAAACAATAGACTCACTTCTGTGGAGTCCAATGCAGTTCAACAGCAGCACAGATTGCAGCCTCCAAAATAAAACAGGTGAATCAACACTGCATTAATATGGCAGAAAACTAAACATTTTAAGGATTTATTACAGGACTGTTGTGTTACACATCTAGTGTAACACAACACTAGTTTTAGCCTAGTTTTAGCCAAATGTTTCTAATAAACTGACAACTGAGTATGTACAGACGCATATAAACTATAATATGATATAGATTACTGGAGAAATTTTGAATGTGCCTGCTGCTTGGTGCATGTACTTCACTCCTCACGAGTCAATCTGTACAAAGTATCTTACTTTCAGTTTCATTCATGTCGTAGAAACTTATCTTGACATTGATCTGGCCAAAACGACCTCACAATAATGGTTCTAACCAAAATTGTCTTCACAATTATAGAAAGACATATACACACTCAAAAGAACCACACATCAACAGGCACACACAAGTACATGGAAATATACAGTGTTGACTTATCTTAGAGTTGCTCTCATACTTGAGTTAAAAGGCTAAGAATTAATGAGTTTAATTAGCAAATCAGAATCAGCTTGGCCCATTTCTGCCTAGTAACACCTGCTCCTGGAGCTGTGCCTAAAGTAAGACAGCAGACATCACTTAAGATGTAATGAACATCACAATCCTCTGCACTGAAGTCACAACACTGCACCGAGTGAGTGAGAGAGAGAGAGAGAGGGAGAGAGAGAGAAGCTAGTGCTGCCTGGATACTGCGTTAGTAGCACTTGCCTGTGTGTGTGCGCGTGTGTGCCTCTGTGTGGCTGTGTTTGTAAACATAACAGAGATCAAAGAGCCTCTTAACGAGCTGGTTCGAACACCTGTGTCTAGCTGGAAGACACAGATTTGGGTGTGATTTTTGGCTCGGCAAGCCTCTCAAACTACTGCTAATTGTGAAAAAACAGTAAGTCCTATCAGAACCATGAGCAGACCAAGAACCATGGCCGACACAAGACGTTCATGCACTACACATATGGCTTTGGTGTTTCTAGAGCCAAAAATGTGGACACAGGAGAAAGTTACAGAAAAATTTCACTTCTGCATTTTTTGGGAAATCAGCTCCTGAATTTGTATTGCAGTCATATGAGGTGGAGGGTACTCCCATCGCTTTGAGGCTCATGTTCAAATTCTCAAAGTCTCTATGCTAAGTTAGACACATTCTACGAAACACATTCTACCGAAAGAAAACAGGACAAATTTCTCTACTATCGAGGAAGCCATGATGTGTGAAGACTGAAATATGTGGCCATGAGGACGAGTTAAACAGACTTTTTCCAGATTAGTTCTAGGGCTTCTCCCACTGTAGCAATGATGTCATCTACTCTAGCTCTGAACATTCCGTGCAATACACACCCATTAGGAAGTCTGAAACGGTCTAAGAATGACACAAAACATAAACTGCGATTTTGTGGAAACCGTAATAGTTTTCAAAATACCAATTTAACCCATAAGAGTCTCAAGACTTTTGACCCATTTAACGTTTCAAACATTTTTCTACGTTGAAGTATGATGCAGCAGTAGAGCTCCAAAGTTGGTCGTTTTGAAGACGTCTCCCCATTCATTCTCTATGGGAATATTTTCGGCTTTTATCGGCATTTATGTTGCCATGGTTACTCAAATCACTTAGAAAAGTCATAGCACACCATTCCCGATCGAGCCGAAGCATTGATATACTGTATATGTTCTGGGTTTTCTCAAACCTGCGGGACTAGTTACGCGCCGAAATTTTGATATGGAAGAGGAATAAGACAAACTAGAAAATGCATTCCCTGTGAATGCTGAGAGCTGAGTGAGATTGCTAAAGCAATGCTGAAGAAGCTGAAGCAATGATGAAGTAGCTGAAGCAATAGCTGAAGATTAGAAGCAGAATTTGTAAGCTTGAGGTTGAATGTCCTGAAATGGTTGAAAAAGGCCTGAATAGTTGATGTAAGTGTAACAAACAGCACAAAACTGTACAAAATATACAAAATGTAAAATGTCTATCTGCCTTTCTATCTGTCTACCCTTCTGTGTTCGTTTGTGTGCGCGTGTGTGTGTGTATATGTGTGTGTGTCTCTGGTTTGTGTGTGTGTGTAAGAGAGAGTCTGGGTGTTGAAGACACAAAGCTCATACAATTCCATGCGAGAAAGTGGACAGTTAACCTCTCAAAGTCCTGCCATTTAATACAAAACAGTACATAATATCAGCAAAGTTATCACACGGCCAGCATCACAGGACTCTCCTGAATACCTCTATGTGGTTTTGGTGTTTCTAGAGCCAAAAGTGTGGAAACAGGAGCGAGTTACAAAACAGGGTCAGTTCTGGTTTTCTACTCAAATCCACTCCTACTGTAGTCTATGGGACAGTTGGAGGGTGCTTGCATCACTTGGAGGGTCACATTTCAAATACTGTTAGTCTCTGTGCTACAGTAGACACTTTCTATGAAACTGGGCAAATTTGGCTACAAATGAGGAAGAAATTATTTGTGAAGACCGAAATATGTGGCCGTGAGGACGAGTTAAACAGAATTTTTTCAGAGGAGTTCTAGAGCTTCTCCCACTGTAGCGATGATGTCATCCACTCTAGCCTCGAACATTCCGTGCAATACACACCCATTACAAACACAAAAATGATCAGAAAGAAGCATAAAACTAGAACGGTGATAAATCAAAAACTGCTGAAGATATCAAAAAGTCTAACACAAGGTAAATAGCTGATAGGCTTGTTTACAGTTTAAAGGTGGAATGAAGTCTGTAGCTGAAAGTATGCTGAAGAAGTTACAGTTCAAAGGATTTGAACATTCCATTCATTTGAATGGCAAAAAAATGTCATAGAAAGCTTAATATTTCAAAAATTATAAATAATACCAAAAGTTGAATATAAACGACACTCTACAGAAAAAGCTGAACATTTTGAACCGATTTTTGTAGCACAAAAACTGTAGGAGTAGTTAGATGCCAAAGCGTGAATGGAAGGTTTAAGAATAATAACTAGAAAATGCATTTCCTGCTGAATATGCGTGCAAATGCTGAGAACTAAATGAGATAGCTGAAGCAATGCTGAAAAAGCTGAAGCAACTGCTGAAGTAATGCTAAAGTAGCTCAAGCAATGGCTGAAGATTAAAAGCAGAAATTGTAAGCTGGAGGTTGAATGGTTTGAAATGGTTGAAAAAGAATGCCTCAGCATTCACACTAATAATATTATATGCCTTTAATGCTATTGCATAGCCGGCACATGATAAGTATGCAGAATAATAATATATGCCTTCAATGCTATTGAATTGCAGGCACATAATTAAGTTAACTTTAATCAATGTAGCTGCAGTATAAAGCAAGTGATTCAGAAAATCTTAAACCACTGCAGTAATCAACATTTACAGTTTAAGCCCCATAAGGAAATACTTTCTTGCACTAACACTGATATGTATTCTTTGTACCCTCAACGGTGTTGACACAGATACGGCCCCATAAAGATAGATGTAGCCTTTGTCAGGCTAGAAGGCAAGCAGCGTGTAGATATTACTGCTGCTGGTGTAGAAACGGATGTACACACACGCTGTACAGAGAGATGCACTGTCAGGGAATACCCAAGCCCTGCTGCAGGTCCTCAGGTCTGCTAGGTGTTGGTGTGGTGGTATTTTTAACAGGTTTAGTGTAACCACAGCTGAGTGTTGAAGCCAGTGGACAAGATATATTCACCAGCTGGTTGGTTTATCAGAGCTTTTATTCTGAAAATAACTGAGATTCAGGTGATAACTCTGACACTACAACTGCTTCTCTAACATTGAACTGACATTGTCTCTCTCTCTCTCTCTCTCTCTCTCTCTCTCTCTCTCTCTCTCTCGTGTTTTTATTTGTGCATGTGGTAGGACAAAGTCACAGGAAGTAGGTAGTTTGGGGGCCACTGAGCGGACTTCCTCCTTGGGCACCATCACTTGGTCCTACCTCACAGGACACTTGTGACCCCCATGTGCTCTCCTCATCTTGTATGAAAGATAAATCCACACAGGTAAGCACATCCCACACCCTGCCTTTTTCCATCATGTGTCCTCTATAGAGATGAAGTCATGTGTCATTGTGTTGGCAGAGGAAAGTGAAGGCAAGTGTAACCATGTATTACAGGTCTGAACTGGCATGTTGATACAATATGTGGTCTTTTATTGAAGGATTATACTGATTGGTTGGTTTGTTTTGTTGTATGGGGGTGTTAAACAAGATGTGATGTAGGATGATATTGATTTGTGTTAGTTGTTATCAAGTACCAAAAACTCCAACAGACTCTTAACAGTGAGTCACTAGCCATAGACTCCCATGTTAAAATGTCCAACTTTACAGCAGAAATAAACATGTTTACAGCCTGGTACAAAAAACAGTTTTGGTCTCTATAGCTAATTATCTCCTTCATGACAACTGTTTATATAACTTACTTGTTTACATTTTACTGAAGCCAATAAAGGCTGTACTCGCAAATATTTTTTATACTGTTATCTCGAGAAAACAAAGCTCCCTTATCTCGAGATAACAAGATATTATCAGGAGAAAACTATGACGCCTCTTTCCTACTGTGTTAAGGTAGACAACAAGCTACAACCTTGTTTTCATCAAACGAGCCGTCCTCTGACCTGGTGGAATAACATTGATCTCTATGAGTCAAGTGCTCAGGGACTATCTACAAAGTGCAATACCGAAAACAGATGTATTAGTTAGTATTCAATTACCAGGGGTGGACAAAGTTCATGGCTCCATTACTTGAGTGAAAGTATAGATCCTGGTCATCAAATATTACTCCAATACAGTGACAGTTGTTCAGTCAAAAAGTTAAAGTACTGGAGTGCTTGATTTTAAAAATACTGAAAGTAAATTTTTTTTTTTTATGTCAACTCGTTGTATTGTTCCACATTTACAGAACCTAATGACTCTTAGAACCTATCGAATGACTGACTATAGAACCAGTAGAATAAAAAAGCTTGTAGGATATGATACAAAGTCTGTAGAAATGGCCATTAAATACCATAAAAACAGCAACTACTAAGCTGTCTGTTTAAAAGTTTATCTGGAATTAAATAAATGTTACATAAATACGTTACATATCTCGACATGCTTTCTCAAGTTGGACGACGAATGTTTATAGAGAATGATGAAGTTTCGTTGTGGTAAACACAGCAAACATTTCAAATGAAATTAATCTTTCTTTATTACTAAACCTTCAAACATGGGCTTCAGATCAGACCATGGTCTCTGATGAAGAATCTTCTGCCTCATCTTTATCTAACAGCCATCTGCTGCAAAACAGGTTCAAACTGAGCTGTTAAAAGTCTGTCCAACCCTATTAATAACTTCACTCTTATGCACTATAGTGTCACAAAAATCATGTCACACATCAATGAGCTCCTGCTGTTTATACAACAACACTTAATTTGGAGAAATGTGCTTTTTCTCTGTTTTTGGGAAGTTTTTATTGGGAAAATAGTAAATAACTTCACACTGTAGTGTCAAAAAAATCAGTGTAACCACTAGGGGTTTCCTGTTGGTTGTATTAGTATTATTATAATTATTATAATTAGGAATAAGTACATTATTCCACATTAAGTGTTGTAGTATAACCATTAGGAGAGCATTTATGTGTGACATGATTTTTGTAACACTACAGTGAATAAGAGTGAAGTTATTGAATATTAACTAATATATCTGTTTTTGGTAAGGCACTTTGACTCGACTCACAGCTGGCTGCTCATAGAGATCATTGTTATTCCTCCAGCTCAAAGGACAGCTCGTTTGATGAAAACTAGGTTGTAGCTTATTGTCTACCTTAACAAAGTAGGAAAGAGGCATTGTTTCTGTTATTACAATTTTTCGGTTATGAGTTGTTGAACCGAGGAGTTTGAATCTGTGAATATCTTTCCAACTTTACTAAAGTATAATTGTCTCATTATCTCAAGATAACAAAAATATCTCGTTATCTCGGGATAACAAGCTTTGTTATCTCGGGATAAGGGGATGAAAAAATATTTGTGAATATGGCCTTTCTCGGCTTCCGTAACATTTTATGGATGAGCGTATGCTTGTTACAAACCGGCATGCACTGAAGTCTTGGCTTCACCCACACACCTCCTCTTTGACCATTTTTGGATTACCTGGGAGTTAGGTGTGGAGTCAGACACTGCCAAGATGACGAGGGCACTCTGAGCTTCAAAACCCCTCTTCAGAAACCTCTGGGTGACATCACAGAGGCTATGTCCAGCTTTATTCACAGTCTATGGTTGTTAATTGTAGTAAGTTGTGTATCAAAAAGTAGGGCTGGGCAATTAATTGAATTTTGGCTTCCTACGATTATAAAAACAAGATTATCGAGAAATAACGATTATTGTGCTGCATGCTATTGCACAACAAATTCCACCCCCCCTACGAAAGCCATCTGATGTGTTGAAGTGTGTTTTGGTCTTTTTCATGTAAGGACGGAAAAACGAGCGATCTCTGGACACATCCAGTCAAAGGCCGTCACATACAGATGGAGAAGTGTTGTTGACCTCCTAGCTCGTAGCTCATCCGACTCTGTGTCTGGTGTGTTTTGTATGCCACAGCCTGGAGCCAGAGTTAACAGAGTTAACTAAGTTATACGGACATACAGTAAGTTAATGATGAAAACTGACCATTATCCAGCTCGGTGGGGGGGGGGTATCCCATGCTCAGGTATCTTTTACTCATATTGTGTATAAGGGAAATAACCAAATGGACGCAAAGCTTTTTGTTTTGAAATCAGTTTTTTAATATTCTATTTTTTTCCAAAGTCAATGAGTAATCGTGTTGAGTAATCGTTATCTCAATATTGATGAAAATAATCTTGATTAGGATTTTTGCCATAATCGAGCAGACCTGTCAAAAAGCATGAGTCATTTCGTTTCATTTATTCAATGTATAAATGATTAAAAGGTCTGTGGTCTTGTGTCATCATTCATATGTTTGGTTGTCACTTTATGGCCTCAAGTGGTCATTCAAGGAACTGCAGTTTTTGCCACTTCCATGTTGGCCTGCAGTATAATGTGTTACAGATGACGGTGTGCTCACCAGCTGCACGTCATCGACCCAAGGTGGGGGCTCGATGAAATGTTTTAACCAACAGATGTCGCAGATCTTTCCAACCATTATATCAAGGTTTCCAATTGAGCAGCCCCAAATTCCCCAATGCTTAGATCTGGTGGGGGGTCAACCTAGGCCAGGGGGGCCCGCTGGGTGTGGAATACAAATGCAGAAACCCTGAGTACTGGACAAATTGAAATTTTGACCTGATAATGGCACTAGATGAAAAGTCAGGACATCTCTTACACGATATTAGCAGTACAACTTCTTGCATTAATCAAATTGTCTCTAATTTAGCAGCAGTTTTCATATATTGGTCTAATAAAATAGAAAAAGTAATTGACACAGTCACATAGATATACACTCTCAAATTCTGCTAGAAGCCTTCCTTCCCCCCTGTTTTGAGTCCTGCTGTTAAGAGTGGTTTTCATATGTTAGTGAGTACGACTGCATTTGATCCAGAGGGAGCTGCGTGAAGTCTGACAAATGTCCTCAAGTGACGTCATTTGAATCAGCATCGGTTTGGGCTGGAGACAACAAGTTTGAGAATGAATAAAATGTGGGAAAGAAGTGAGCTCGCCAGTCCTCTGTAGAACACTCCTCATCTTTGAGTGAAGATAGAGGCTCAAGGGCACGTTAGCTGCTACTGGCATAACACACCTGAATATCTGACCCAACTGTTGGCAAACGTGTTGGAATATCATCAAGAAACATTTGTGTTTATTCGCTTTTTCAACCCTCATGACTGTGACGAGTAATCAATAGAAATTTACTACCCATAGAAACATTTTTTAGGTGTAGTTACTCCTTAAGTTTCCTGTAATTAGTGTTGATTATTTCACTTACATAAGACTCACTGTCTCAGGGTGTGTCATTAGTGGAGGATCTTCAGTTTCACCATCTGTAACCTGAGTGAGGACTGTGACTTGCCACTGTCAGTCTCTATAGTTGTGGAGGATTAAGAACGTTTACTGAGGATAAAGTAAGGGTATCCACTTCATGTCCATGGCTTTAGTTCAATGGAACTGAACTGATCTGACTGTCAAATATTGGTGTCATTTTACTTCTCAGGCTGTTGTAGTAATGTTCTGTGTCATTCTGTCCACACCTTCCTGCCCTGTGATCCTCTCAAGACACAACACAAGAGAGGAACGCATCACTAGATCATTTCACATGCTCTTATATCAGTACTGGCTCACAAAAACAACTTATTTTTTCATACAAATACTAAAATGTGGAACACAGGTCGCGTCAATCAAATATTTTCTGTCATTGACTGAAAACAGTGATGGAAGAATCTGAAACTTCAAAACTCTGTCTGAGGTGGCGCTGGTCATCCTGGTTTTGGTCTTTCTGGTCTTCATTGTGCAGCAAGGGCGGTCTTTATAAAATTAATAAAATTACAGCCGTGAGAAGTCGTCTGTATGAGGCAAAGATGCAAAACCTGACAGTCACTTCTGCGGCAAGCCAGCACCCTGTTTAAATCCATGGAGGAAGGTTTGAGTTGAGGTCACTTCTGTTCAGTTTAATTGATTGTCAGTGGTTTGTTCATGTTTTAGTTGTAGCTGTGTAAATGTTATCGTTCATATTGACTCTGTTAGTTCCCTCTGCTGTCACTGCAGAAAAAAAAAATCATCTGCTTCATATGCTGTTAACATGAAAAGTGACGTACACTCAGTTCTTTTTGAAAATTAAATGCTATTAAGTAGGACATGTCTCATTATCATTAGAATTGAAAAATAAAATGACAAGTAATAATAGACTATAACAGATGTTCTACGACCCTGATCAGCAATAACCTATAACAATCTAAAGCACATTTCAAACAGTACCTGATGGAAGGACAGTCAGCTCATAGACAATTTTACTCTCTAGTGTCTGTACAGCTGCTTGTGTTGTTCATTAATATGTTGTTCTTGTTCTAATTGTAACATGATTCTTTCTGTGTTGTTGAACAGGGACCTGCTGTAAACCAGTTTTTAACTGAGGCAGACCAGTTTAAATGTTTCAGTGTTACTTTGAATCTTTTTCTGTAAAAAGAAATGCTGCTCACTCTCAGCTGCCCACCTGCACTCACCTCTATCATCTTACTTCTTCCAGGTTGTGTGACATTTACCACCTATGCATCTCTGGAACTTCAAAAGCCCCATGACCTCTCTGCTCTTAGTTGAAGGCATGGCTGTGAGAGTTTTATAGTTCCTCGGTTTCTAAACCAACCCTCTAACCTAAACAAATCGCTACATGACTATGTTTTCATGTGTCATATTTACAGAGAGGGATTACATCAATGTCATTGTTCTCTTTTTTTATTTTTCTTCTTCTTTTCTTTTTCATTTTATTCCTCCACACCAGCGACAGTCAGAGCATATTTTCAGGTTGTCCGTCTGTCCGTCCCATTCTCATGCACAATATCTCAGTAACACCTTGACGGAACTTCTTGAAATTTGGCACAAACATTCACTTGGACTGAAGGATGAATTGATTTGATTTTGGTGATCAAAGGTAAAGGTCAGTGTGACCTCACAAAACACTTTTTAGCCATAGCTGAAGACTTCACAGCAATTAAGCCAATATTTCACACAAATGGTTCATATTTTTTATGACTCTGGATAAACAGGGATGTGACCTGAAACTAGCCTGAGTGGAGGAGTTTAACTTTTTTTCTTTTTTCATTTTCCTCTTCTTTTTTCATTTTTTTCTTATACTCTTGTGATTTAATGTCAGTGTCCAAAACAGTGTTTCATGTATAAGTAATTTTCCACCACAATGACCAAAGCCTTAATCATGGTTATCAGAGTTTGAATAATTTTTGTAATATGATACAGGCACCTCTAATGCCGTTATGTATGGCCTCACATTAGGATCAAAACGATTTTGACCTTGTAGGGTGATGAGTTTCTCTTTTAAGTTTCTTACAACCAAGCAACTTCTTCTACTCTTTATATGGGGTTACAACACAACAGCTGCTGAGCTGTATGTAAAACAAAAATGAAAACAGCTCATTTCGTTAGCTTTTCATTTAAACAACAATAACACAATATAATCATGATTCCACTCAGAGCTGGCAAATAATAAATACAAAATCTAAAATAAAAGTGACCAAAAACTGAAATAACACAGTTCAACATTTGGTGCACTTTCAGAAATTTTAAACTATATTTATATATTATATTATAATTGTATGTTCACAGTTTTCCAGTGGAGTGTGAAATTACAGTGTAATGCACATTTCAGGAGGCCTTGTCTTTCTCGTGAATGATTTAAATAGTATAGTTAACTTGGATTGATCTGACTTTATGTTGTATGTCCGTCTCCATTATAAATTGTGTCTTTGGGTGAGGGAGTATCATAACCAAATGAAATCTGAACACAGATGTCATTTACACACTCATGGAGTCAATGCAAATGACTTTTTCCCATGATCATGGAAATAAATCCACATAGAAAATTGTAGACAAGAAGATACTTGTCATGGCTTCCCTCTAAAGTCCTGCTGTTAAACAGTGAGTGAAGAATCAGAATCCAAACCTCAGCTCAGTGTCACTCTACGTCTGTGCTGTCAGCTGGGTGGCTTCATCTTCTTCATCCTTACTAAGACAGAGTGACAGAATAAGAGAAGAGGCTCCAGTAACTAAAACGCTGCTGAAAATAAACAAGTGGCTCTTTGAGTTAGACCAATTAAGATGAGCAGGATAGCAGTTGAGTTTCTTCTGTGTTATGATATGTGTGTGTGCTTAGATAAGTTCACTATAGTGCTCTCTGTGTCACAAAGCTCAGCTCTGCTTTCACTGTATAATGTGTCCATGTGTGTATGTCTCCACATGCTGCTTCTATGAGTTTGTCACAATGATAATCCATCACTGAAACATACAGGCTTGACCATCTCTTTGACAGACTTTAGTGACTACAGTGTAATCATGACTGATAGAAATAGCCAAGTTATAAACGAAGGATATAAATAGTAATAAATCAGAATGATCCTTTAAAGGTCCATATAATATAAAGGTCTCTGTCCATATGTTGTGTGATTATAAAGCAGGTCTAGGTTCTATAGTAATACTGTGAAGATATCAAAGCCTCAGTCCACAGAGAAATGCACACAGCCTGTATTCAGAAACTGAGCCTTAAAACCAGCCGTCAGGACTTCATCTCCAGCTGGGTAGACTATTGTAACAGTCTGTTGTCTGGTCTTCCATTAGACACCTTCAACTCATTCAGAACGCTGTTGCCAAAATTCTAACAAGAACCAGGAGATCTGAGCACATCACTCGTATTCTTAAATCTTTGAACTGACTATCAGTTACCTACAGAATAGATCTGTGAGGGGGCGCCTCAGTAGCTCACTTGGTAGAATGCGTACCACATAGGCTCAGTCACTAATGATGTGGGCCCAAAATACATTTCTGATCTCTTTGAAGAATGCAGGTCTTTAGGAAGCAGTTAGCTGATCGAGCAGGGAGTCAAAAAGGGAGAAGCTGCTCCCAACTACTATGCTGCACACACGATGTAAAATGTGCCCCAACTCTGGCTGCTCTGCCCCTCTCTTGTGCCTCACTTCACACAGTGTTTCTCTACTGCACTTTTACGTATTGGTAGTATTTGGGGCAACTTACAACTTGTAACTGTATTTCTGTATTTATTTTCCTTTTTCTTTAATTTTACCTGTTTTTTAAAATCTGATTTTATATTTGTCTCTCTGTTTTTTCTGTCTTTTTTGATTTTATTTAGATTTTTATTACTTATTGTTTCTTATGTCGTTCTAATGCTTTTCTTTGCCTTTGTAAAGCATTGTGAATTGCCTTTCTGTTTGACGTGCTGTATAAATGAAGCTGCCTTCCCTTGTGTAGAACAGCAGGGATGTTGATAGTAAAGTGGCTGTGATGTTCTTTTCAGACTTGATGTTGGAGTGACGAAAACAGGAAAGAAGAGGAGCACCAACCAGCGCTCTGCGTCCTGGGGCAGTGCTGACCGGCTCGAAAAGGCATGAGCACAAATACACACACATTCAGGCCAAACCTCTTGTTTGATGTACAGGACGGTAAATTTGCACATGGTGCTTGTATGAGGCTCCATGAACTGAAGTTTCCCAGACACCCCTTCTCTTTTTCCTTTCCAGCCTTTTGTATACATGCAGCAGAAGTAAAGAAATATGGTATTAAGTACTGAGAAGATGGAAATCAGAAACATCACTTTCAAGATAGCACATTATATATAATGAACAAAGATCCACGGTGGTATCATCTTATACATACATTGGCTTTGATAAACTATCTTTTAAATTATATGTCGAGGAACTCACAAAATATTTAAACAAAAGCTACATTTTATTCACAATGACACAAAAGTTATCTTTTACACTCAGACAAGAATTACATCATTTGACAGTAACTCCACCAAGCTTACACATCAAAGTTTGTTTGTAGGTGTCAGAGAATACTAGTGTATGTGAAAATGTTTTATGAAGTCTCTTATGTCTCTAGAGGGAGCTGTTGGTTGGGGCTGAAGATTACAATTTAAGAAATGAAGAAAATCAGGGGGTGCAAACCCACAAACAGCAACAAGCAAAGTTTAAGGCCTGACAGAGCCGAGCAAAGTCACCTCACTACTGTTGAAGGAGTGAGACCACGCCCACACTTGTTTCTTCACCACAAAGCCTGAGATGTTTTGGTGATGGTGCGCTCAAAATTTTGCTGTTTGTCCTGCCTTCATCAAATGTGAGCAAAACTCTGTGTATGAGCAGGGGATGCGCAGGATGTCTCCAGTGAGTTCAGTCAGGATTGTTCAAAATCAGCTTTGGTTATGAACAAATATGTGCTAGGTCACGCCCACTTGTACCAATTCAGGGGCTGCATCCTTTGGAGGACGTGGTCTACGAAAGAGTGGTCCCTCCTAGACCATGAAGGCGGAATCAAAATGAGGTGGTCTGGCCTACGGAGGATTTTCGCTTTGCGTCACCATTGCTTCACACAGTGCGGCTCCTGTCGCCTAGCAACCTTGACAACACGTAACTTTTTTTCACAGAAGCATGAGGTTTTAAGACCCATGGTTTTAACAGTTGTACCGTTAGCTGTTGAACTGAGCTGAAACACAATACTTACATTTAATAGTGTAATCCTCAGGCTCTCTGTCAGTGTTCTTTTTTTTTCATTACCGGCGCACAATGAATCTTGAGAAAAGAAAAGGCCTTAAGATATCTACCAAGCCCCGCCCTCGCCTAACATAATTTGATTGATTTACCAAATGTTTCACTAATTGAACAATAATGAAAGGTCCATGTTAAAGAACCAACTGCATCAGAAGTCAGCCCCCCATCATCACGTTTTCAGGTTGTCTGTCCGTCGTCCGCCCCCATTATGACTGAGGAATGCAGCCGTGAGGCGGTAATTCCCACACCTCCACCCAACCCTGCAGGCTGGTTCCACACACAGACCTGCAGCTCTTTATACATCCATGACACAGACAGAGAGCAGAGAAGCGAGATGACGACAGTGATGTCACCTGGTCACTGTCTTTTTATAGAGTCCCACCCTCACTCTCTGTTTGCTGTTATTGGTTGGGGGCTACACACCCACTGCCCAGAGGTTGCAGTCCAGAAATATGTATCTGACACACTGAAATAACAGTTGTAGATATTAAATATGACACAGCTGACACAACTTTCTTTAGCTACTTAATCCAAATACTGAAGGTCCTCTGCATGTGGAAGTCTTAGTACAAAGGAGGTTGTGATACTTTTTTATCTATGTTTTCATCTCTTAGTTACATTGTTGAAAATGACATGATGCTGTTCTTGAGAAATCATGGTTTAGTATCAGACCTACAAGTTTGATGTGGTGAGGAATTAAGTGCAGTTGCTGTAATTGACAGTTTCCTCTGTATAACCTCCTGTGTGACATCACAGGTGTGGTATATGTGGCTTTATGGTGCTGATGGTGCACGGCAGTGACATACTCACATTCTCTGAAGCTGCACCCTGCATGAAGCTCTCAGCTCCACCCTGCTGATACTCAGCAGCGGCAGGGAGGTGGCAGATAACGCTATCTCACTCTTAACTACCAGCTTCCTCTCTTTGCAATGGCTATAACCTGCCGCAATTTATGGTCAGCCGAGCCCCAGCTGGCTCCTCTCCTTCTCCTGCAGCAAAGAGAACTATGAGGACTGGGTGGATGACAGCTCAGCCCTCATTAATGTGTGCACAGGCACCTTACTGAGTTACACGGCTGCAGAGGAGGAGCAGCACTGACACAGATTCTTCAGATGTCAATACACGAGGTGCAAGGAGGAAGAGGAGAGGGGACAGACCTGAGCAGTGCAGCTACATGAGAAAACTCAGCTGGAACATTAGTGTGAATAATAAGACTTCTCTGTCTGATCCATCTGTATCTGAATAATGGAGCAGGTGTGTTGTCCAAGCAAACTCTGTCTTAGTCTAACTTAGAAAACTGTAGCTACAAACTTGAGGGCTATGTGTGGGGGAAGGGGTGAGGTAGGTGTGTGGTCATTTTTACATTTAGCACTAGCATACACCATAAAATATTGATGTATCATTGAACTATTAAATGGAGTTGCTGCAGTAGTCTGTTACCAGAGTTACACACACTGATTACAGAACTTATCCACTGTCCCCATTGTCTTTTATCATGTTTTTTATAGACATAAAACCCATTTTGCCACTTTAAAATACTAGATCTCAATATTTTGTCGAATGCTACAATTTGACTTAATTTATTAACAACTTAGATTAAAGTAAATATGCTTGCAACAAAGCCCATTAAGGACAACAGAAATCTAACCATGCCTTAACCTCCAGACTGAAAAATTAAGCCAACACTCAAGTGCCAAAAACTGCAGTTCTTCTAATGACCACCAGAGTCTGGCTCCAACAGTGAGTCAGTCCCAATAGACTCTCATGTTAAAATGTCCAACTACAGCAGAAATAAACATGTTTACAGCCTGGAAGATACTAAATCTGACACAGCTGACACAACTTTCTTGAGCTACTTAATTCAAATACTGAAGGTCCTGAATCAAACCTGTGAAGTTGATCATCTTAAATTATTGATATGATATAAATCAATCTAACAATCAGTTAGATAAAAGGCGTATCACTGTAATGTGTCACTCCTTTACATCTGCCTGGCTGTCATGAATGAGCGCTGTGCTACATCAGTAGCTGAGGTGGACCAAATCCAGTAGAGTACAATAAAGAAAGGATCGAGTTTTGATACTGATCCAGTCACCACTCTGCGTGTGGAAGTCTTGGCACAGAGGAAGTCGTTATACACAGCAGTTTTGGTCTCTATAGCTAATTTCCTCATGACAATGACATGAAATGACAATTTCTTCATGACAACTGTTCGGGGGGTGATTTTTTTATATAACTCACCTGTTTACATTTCATTAAGGCTTAAAGTGAGGGCGTGGCCTCTTTGAGTGTCAGGTTGGTAAGCGTATGTTTGCCACAAACTGGCATTCAATGAAGTTTCTGCTCCACACAAGCCCCTCCTCTTTGTCCATTTTTGGATTCACTGGGAGTTAAGGGCGGAGTCAGACACTGCCAATATGGTGACGGTGGAGCAGCTCATTCTGAGCTTCAAAACTGCTCTTTAGAAACTTGTGGGTGAAGTCCATCTTTATTTACAGTGTGTGAATCTAACTTACTATAAACAAAAAGGAAGCTGATCTATATTCAGATTGTTGACAAGTACTAATCTGAAAACAAACACTATAATCCTCCTCTCTCCTGTCCTCCTGACCCTGATTAGTGAGTAGTGTCGTGTTAACTCACTCACCTGCTGCGGGCGAAAAATTCTAAAACTGTGTTTTCACTTTGTCATTATGGAATATTGCATGTAGATTGATAAGAAAAAATGATTTTCTACATAAGAAAATGTGAAAAAAGTGAAAAAACGCAGCATTTTATCATCCATCCTGTAATAGTGACTTTTCAGGTATTTTTTTTATTTTTATTTACTGTCCCTGTCTAAACAAATGCTGTGCATCCTGAACTCCAGCCTCAGCTCAGCTCTGTCACATCAGAGTATTGAGTCATTTCCCACAGTCCAGCAAGAGTGTGCTGAAGCTGCCGTGGTCAGTGTTCCTAGTTTCTTCAGGTTCTGATTGTGATTCAAACTGTTAGTGTTTTTATAGAGTGTGCACCAAGGTCTGTCTTCATCTAAGCTCAGAGACCCGACAGCTTTATAGAGCTTCCAGTGGGATCTTATTGACTTGTTTCAAGTCCACTTACCTGCTTCATGTTTATATTTCTGGATGTGTTTCCTCTGTCTGCTCGTCCTCCAGCAGATTGCAAAGCTTCAGCAGCAGCTCCAGCGCGGTGAACCAGGAGGACACCACAGTGAAGACAAAGACCAACTGTCCCCCCTCCAGAACAACACCATCGCCCACTCCATCCTCACCAGCACCACCAACCACACCTCCACAGCCAACCACGTTCAGGTAGCGTTCTGCCTGAAAACCTTTATCACTGTCCTGAGGGTTTAAGGACCAAGCTCAGATTGAAATATTCAGTCACATGTGTGTCTGTAGACAGTAGCACACATAATCATGAATCTGGTGTGTGTACAGTCATCTTATAGATGGAGGGATTACTGTTGCTATAACCTGTGATCATGAATGAGTAGACTAAGTAGCTTACATGCTATGAGTGAAATGAGGGTATTATACTGTACATCTCTTATAATTCCTGTGATCAAATTCACCATGTGATTTAAAAGTACAGGTCTTCTTTAACAATGGGCCGGGTGATTCTCAGTCTCTGGCCAGAATAGAGTCAGTGTGTTCATCATGTGTTTATTCCTCTGACGTGGACCAGAGAAGAAGCTTAGATCCTGAATATCTATGAATATGAATGTTTTTCTTTAAAGTCTGGTGTGTGTTAAAACTCGACCTTAGAGGCGACTAATGTGTTAAACAGCTACATTATATGTAGTTATAGCTTTTGCTCTAAAAGCTGCTGATATGATAATGATTAGTACGACTGTGGCTGATTGATCTGTCCACTATGTGATGTCTGACTGATGAATTTCAGAATAAAGGTCGTAGTGTTGGCTGCAACCAACAGCAGCTATAAACAGTGAACATTAGCTTGATCAGGTAGCAGAATATGAAGTGATTTGGTGAAAGAGTGAACAATAATGTGGTAACAGTGGAGACCTCTGCTGGTCACTTTAGACAACACTATCTGGGAGGGACCACACAGTGTGTTTACACATATTACAGTTTTTCTGAAAAGCTTTGATGCAATTCACTCATCAGAAACATCATTCTCACAACTCTTAATGCAGTTCTCAAAACAGTTCATGCATTTCTCCTAACACTAAATCGCCAGTGCAAAAGCCTCTAAAACAAAACCTTGTTCACATGTGTTGAAACATGCAAAGTCAGTCAGTCACTTCAACATTGTCACTAATGAATTAAACCTTTTCACCGGAGCTTCAAGACTTAGACTCCAAATGTTTTGATGTTTTGATAAAAACCTGACTGACTTTAGAAAGAGACAACTGCAAAAAATACAGACTAAAAATGTTTAACACTGCATTGGTGTTTATTGGTCGTTGAACAATTTTAACCTCTTAACAGATCACTGTCCTGTCATTTTAGAACACTGTATGGAAATGTTTATACAAGCCTATGGAAAACAGAAGAGCTTTAGATTTAGAACATGGTGTATCCAAAAAAATTGTTGATGTTTTACTGTAATGATATTTTCAATGCAGTGTTTCATTTTGCAGCAGATTCGTGGCACTTTGCATTCTGTGTGCAATTTATGGATGTATGTGTAGAGTTTTGAAAAAAATTAGACCTAGTTTAGAAAATGTGTAAAAGCAGTTGAAAAAATTAGATTGAAAACACTGATGCTGCAGGACAGTATCAAAGTGAGTGAGAGGTCTGTCATTCTATCTGATGCAAACAAACTGTTTTCATGAGTTGTCAGAGTCAGATGAGAAATGCATCAACACGATGAGAAAACGTCATTAGAAGTGAACTATGTGTGGATACAAAGGAGACTTGTACAAATACAATGAGAAGTGCTAATTAGTGTGAGAAAATGATGAACTGTTTTGAGAACTGCATTAAGAGTTGTGAGAATGATGTTTCTGATGAGTGAATTGCATCAAAGCAATTGAGAAAAACTAATTAATTATATTCACGATACACAAGTAAATATTCACACACTTCTGATAAAATATTTTTCATGTCTTAATGCAAAGAAAAAAAATATCTTTATCTACCTGTGCTTGTAGAGTGGCTATTCTATCCTCTTGACTTTTATTTTGAAATATTTACCTTTACTTCCACCTGTCTACCTTTCTACATTCTTAAATTCAACAAGGAAACATGAAAAAAAGGAATTTACAAACAGCAGAATTGTTTCTTCCAATTTGATTTTCACAACAAAAACAGGAAAACAACTGTTTTTATGTTTTCATGTTTTTGGTTTAAAATGAAAAAACAAACTGAAAGTGCACTGACCCATTAGCCAAGTGATTTCAGTCTGTGGAGAAATAATTTGCAGGGGCAGCAGTCAGCTAAACTGGTGGTCTCTTCAAGTCCAACACTAAACTGGCAATCACGTTGTATTGTTAATGTATTGTTATGCAGAGGTGCCACAAACTCGTGACCCTCTCCTCCAAGTGAGTCTCCAGAGAGAAGTTTCTGAAATTTACCAAAGTCCAGGTCATATTTTAGTGTTTGTGTGTGTGTATACATGTTTTTATTACCACTTTGGGATTTCTTCTGGTAGAAACACCTTGTTGGCATGAGACGTTGTCATGACAGTACTGATGACGCAAGATGTCATTCCTGAGGTCCTGGTTAAGGTCAGGGGGTCAAGGTGAAGGGTAGGGGTCCACATTGAATGTCTTAACAAGGATAGCTGCACGAACTCTGTGTGTGTGTGTGTGTGTGTGTGTGTGTGTGTGTGTGTGTGTGTGTGTGTGTGTGTGTGTTGTGTTGTGTTGTGTATTGCAGCACTTTTCCATGTCGAAGTCGGCCCAGATGCCGCTGTCCAACATCACAGTGCCAAAGCCCTCCATCTCGCGGGTGCCCAGCAGCATGGAGGGCATCAACCATGAGCTGGAGAAGGTCTTCATCAAAGACAACGGAGAGAAGGAGGAGCTCAAGGTGAGGCTCTGTTTGATCCACGTTCATGCTGAGACGGACTGTGATCATCCCAGTGTTCAGTAAACCTGTTTCAGTCTAACTGACTAACCTGGACCGACTTGCTTCTTATCAGTATTCTGGTCTCACCCCCTGCTGTCTGTCTCCTCTCGGTCTCTGCAGTCCCTGGAGGTTCCTGATGGGCGGCGAGCACCCTTCCCTCCCCAGCAGCGCAGCAGCAGCACTCGCAGCATGGACACCCAGACTCCCTCAGCCCCCGGCCGGTCCAGCAGCTGCTCCAGCCTGTCGCCTTGCCCCTCGCCAGCTTGTCCCCCAGGATCACATGACGGCAGTCCCTACTCCACAGAAGATCTACTGTACGACCGCGATAAAGGTAAAGAACATTGAACTGATGACCCACTAAAGCTAAAACACACAATTCTTGGTCCTGGATCAAAACACAACTCAGTCTGACCTTCGGTTCAGGTCACACATCAGGTTACTCCGAGCAGCCTTACCTTTTTTTGAAGGAGCTTCCTCACATTAATGCTCAGAGTTTTTGGGGGTATCATTATCTGTTCAATTACCATTTGTTAGTTTCTTTCAGTTTGCAGTAACAAACGAAACTGCAAAAGCCAGTCGACTGAGGACGACTGCTCATCACATTTTAAGAACACACAAGGCAGTACATGTTGTTCTTATACAGATTAGACAGATCATCATTTTTTTTATTTTGCCCATGATGAGCAGCTGTCAGAATGTTGGCTAAAAAGTGACAGTCTCTAAAACATATAAACAAAATCTACATAAGACTGACATTTATTTTCAATACTAGTACTGATATGAAACCTGGTTTTCAGTATAAATAGTAATACTGAGTGAACGACTTCTAACAATAGAGATGCTACTTTTTGTCCAAACATAATCAGTTATAAGAGAACTTACATAAAATACAGTCTAACCTTGATTATCAAACTATGATTTAAAGCTGCACTAAACAATATTTTTATATTAACAGTGGGTGAGATGTCGCTTGTCCTGACAAATCACCAGAGAATTAACTTTTTTAGCTAGTGTTTTAGTTTAGTTTTCTTATCAGCCTTGTTCATGAGTCCTACGCAGCATGGAAAAGTATAGAATTTGACTTCAGTAATCTCCAGGTCTGGATAACTATGGAAAAAATCAGAGCATTGAAAAACTTTTGTATATTGTGTACTATTTTCTAAAATATGAAACTTCTTTCTGAAACTAAGTTAATCATACATGGTGTTTGGAGCAGGCAGCCAGCACAGTCAACATATTTACCACTGCGTGAGAGAGCGAGATCAATGTCATAGAAAGCCAGGCAAGAAGTGTGTGGGAGGAACCTGAGTTAAATTTCAAGTGTCATAGCAAAGTGTCTGAATACTTCTGATATTTCAAGGGTAAAGAGGAATTTAAACAATTTTGACAAAAGGCTGCAACATAAAATATGAAGTGGTCTGAATGTTAGGGAGAAATCTTATCACCGGTGGTTGAGGTATTTCGGTGAAGAAAGAGCGCTGGAGTCCAAGATGTCTCATGCTGACGATGTTTATTTAAGCTTGATCAAGGACAAAGGAGGAATCATCAATAAAGACTTCTGTGCATGATACGCTCCATATTCGGTCAAATACCTAAAAGAAGAGGGAGAAGAAGGATGTGCGAATATGCTATTGCTCCATTGACTATAAACAAGGAAACATGATTTACACACACCCATGTGCTGATTCTCACAACACCCAGCCACTTGTTACTGACCAAGGTCTTCTGTTATCAATCTTGGCACCAGCAGTATCAGCAGAAAACCACAGCTGTGTCTGGAGGAGTCGCCTGAGCATCTCTATCATATGTCCTACGAGCTCCACCTTCCAGCCAACAAGGGCAGCTTGAGGCAGACCCTCACAGGAATGGAGAACCCCTGAAACACCACAAGTGTTAAGGGGCTCACGATGGAGGTCCTAAATCACATGTGCCTGCTCACAGGAGCCAAAACCCCCCCTTATGTTGACCAGAGATGGACAAAAAGACCCCTGCGCTAATTACTCTAACCTAGAGATGGGCCTAAGGCCAAAACCTCGATGACAGGGAGGAAAGACCTATTTTCTATCCCTATCTCATCCAGATGTATCCTTATTAATGTAAAGAGGTACTTTATGCAGTTGATTAACTTGAGGTAGTATTAATATCAAAACACACTTAAAGAAGTGCAAACCAAAATAAGAGTTATATGAAATCACAACAATCAACTTCAAATCAAAACACAACAAACAAATCAATTTCTAAATCATATCTTAATCAAGCAAATGCAAGCTGAGGTATCCGTGTGTCTTCAACCCTTGTACAGTAGAGGGTCACCACCATGGAGAGGTTACAAGCACTTACGAAGCATGGTGGTATGGAATCCATCATGTTGAACCATCCTTGTTCTTCCCATGTGATGAGATATATTAACCTTCAGTGTATTCTTTATTTATTGAGATAGTATTTAATCTATTGTAAATGTCATGATGTCATGATGCTCTCTTCATATTGTTACAAAATGATGAACTCTGCGATGAATGCAGGTGCTGAGAGTGTCTGATTATGTCATCTCATCAGATTAAAACTTCAATTAGCAGCATCTTCATGCTTCATGAAATCATTCAAACGAGGTTTCTAAGTCACATGCTACTGTGATTATTATAATTGAAAACAACAAACAATCAATCAAAACTTAATTTTTCACACCCAGATTATACTGAAATTACTCAAACTAAAACGTATTTAGCGTATAAAAGAAATTACACAAATCACACAAAATAAAAAATTTAAGAGCTAAGTTTATATGGAAATAATAAGGAATTGTAGGAATCACCCCAAATTTATTTCAACCTCTGATTTAGTTGCTATAATGCTTCTCGTCTCTGGGTCCATTTTCTCCTAATCCTTTCAGTCATCGTTGTCAGTGATGTAATCAATACCTAGTCACTGTAACAAATCATCAGGGTTCAAAGTCATAATATTTAAATAGCAGATGCCTTGTGGATCTTCATATGGAATGCATCGATACACCTTGTCTAAGGATGGGAATTGCAGTCCTTGGTCCACCACCGCCATCATCTAAAATGGATCAAATGAGAGAATATTTGCACAGCATTCATTTTTATTTAGGTTTTAAGTCAAAAAAAGAATCTGTTGTTAAGCCTGGCCTGCATGCGTTATGTGTTAACATAACCCGACATTCCCCATGAGCTGAGGAGGAGGGACGGGGAAGACGTGCCGGAACGGAGTGACGTGCTAGGAGGAGACGGTTCATCATGGGGAACGTGAGATCTCTCCCCAATAAGATGGATGAGCTAATGGCACTAACCTGGCATCAGAGGGAATACAGAGAGTGTAGCATCATGCTGTTCACGGAGACATGGCTGACTGCACTAACCCCAGACACTGATGCCAGGTTGGACGGTTTCCAGCTGTTGCAGGCAGACAGGACAACTGAGAGTGGTAAGAGGAAAGGAGGAGGGCTGGCAGTGTTTGTGAATGATAGATGGTGTAACGCTGGGCACATTACTATTAAGGAGCAACTCTGCAATAAAGACACCAAGCTACTAGCTGTAAGCATGAGGCCACTCTACCTGCCGAGGGAATTCTCACATGTTATCACATGTTAGCAGTGTACATTCCCCCCCTCTGCTAACGCTGATGCGGCCTGCGATGTCCTCCACTCTGTCACAAGCACGCTGCAGACACAGCACCCTCATGCCCTCTTCCTCATCTCTGGTGACTTCAATCATGGCTCTCTGGACTCCACTCTACCCACATTCACCCAGTATGTCACTTGCCCCAGCAGAGACATTTATTATATAGGTAGATTGTGATCTGCTGTGGCATTACTGCCTGACGCACCTCCTCCGGTGCCCTTGGGTCGGCTGGCTGCAGGGTCGTCAGCCGGGTACCACCAATCCACAACGTTTCGCCCTTTTAAACCTGGAATATCTCCTGGTGGTGGGGCAGTGGCTGGGACATCTCCCTGCCACCCCCTGCAGCCAACCCCCATGCTAGGTGTTACTCCAACTCTTGTCCTTTCTCCTCAGCCAGAGCCAAAAGCTGCACTTCTCAGCCTCTTCAGCCAGGTATTTCAGGGCCTTCTGCTGGTTTGCTCCTGTTACTCCCATGTCCCTCATGAAGCGGACAGCTGATGTTCCGATAAAGCCGTGGCATCCTACCTCAATTGGGTAGATGATGGCTCTCCAAACGGCCACCTCGAACTCAGTGGTGAATTTAGAGTACTTCAGCCTCTTCCTCTCTGAGGCAGCCTCCAGGCCCTCTTCCCACGGGACAGTTAGTTCGATGGGGAGCACAGTCTTTGTGTCACTGGACCACATCACTATGTCAGGGTGGAGGCTTATGGTGGTGATCTCTCTGGGGAACTGAAACTTCCTGCTGAGATCAGCTCTCATGCTGCAGTCCTGAGTGGCAAGAACTGACCTTTGTGGAGCTCTTGGTGTTGTGTTTGTGTTGCCCTCACCTTCTCTGACAAACTGGATGTGATGGTCTGCTGGATGACCTCTGCCCATGTCCAGCCTGCGTCTCTCCAGCACCTCGGCCAATTTGGTCAGGACCTGGTCGTGTCGCCACGTGTAGCGTCCTTGGGAGAGCGTGATCTTGCAGCCTGATAGGATGTGGTGGAGGCTTGCATTTGGGCTGTTGCAGAGGGGGAAGCACTCACACAAACCACAAGTGCAAGTTCAGTGGGCAAGGGAGTGTGTCCTACGTTGCCCTGATGAGTAAACTGAGCTATGACTGCGGGATCTTCCACAGGTCTGCCATGCTGATGTTTCTGCCAACAACGCCTCCCACCTTGTCTAGCCTTGATCTTAAAGCACTCATTCTCCATCCTTGTCAGATGTTATAACACTGGACCTACTCTATGCCAACTCAAAGGAGGCATACAACTCATCACCTCTCCCTCCCCTTGGGAAGATCAGACTACAACCTACAACTGGTTCACCTCCTCCCTGTGTATGACCCTCTTGTACGCAGGCAGCCAGCAGTCACTCGCACTGTGAGTTGGTCTGATGAGGCTAACGAGGCTTTAAAGGACTGCTTTGATTCAACTGTGTGGGAAGTGCTTTGTGGTGACCAAGGGGAGGATATTGATAGTCTGACACACTGCATTACGGACTACATAAACTTCTGGTGGAAAATGCCGTACCCACCAGGACTGTACTGTGTTTTTTGAACAATAAACCCTGGATAACTCCCGACATCAAGGTCCTCCTTAAACAAAAGAAGAGAGCCTTCAGGTTGGGAAATGAGGAGTTGAAGGAAGTGCAGAGAGAGCTGAGGAGAACGATCAGGGAGGGAAAGAACAACTACAGGAGGAGGATGGAG